AGATAATTACCACCATGGGCACCTACCTCCAATCTGCATTGAGATCTATCGTAAAAAAACCTTTGGAACTTGGAAAGAATATCAGGAGACATTAGAATGTTATGCTAACTTTGCGATCAGAAAAAAACAAGTAGATAATAGCCGTGATTTACGACAACATACCTGGGACTGTGAACGGTCTGGTAAATATGTCTCATATAAAACTGCTTCACTCGAAAAGCAAAGAAATAAGGGTTCAAAAAGGATTGGTTGTCTTTTTCTGATGAATGCGTACAAGAGTAAGGGCTTTGATAATGAAACTATAATTAAATTGACATTGATGTATCCTGAACACAACCATCAGTTGATTCCTGAAAATGCTAGCTTTGCTACTAGCTATCGGAAACTTATCACAGATATGAAGGAGCTTATTGAAAGTTATACAATTTGTAACAATGATGTCTCATTCCAGGTTCGGTTACTCCGTGGATTATTTCCTGATGCCACAATTGTGAACTATGATGTGAAAAACTACGTATATAAGGTTCATCATACTCATGATATACAGGGGTGTGATACCACAAAGCTTTTCCAACACTTTGAAAAAGAACATACCAAGAATCCTGATTGGTATGTTCAATCATTAATTGATCCAGAAACAAATAGATTACAAGGTGTATTCTATATGACCCCTGAACAACGAAAACTTTGGCGACGTTATGCAGATATCATTTTAAATGATAATACAGCAGTGACCAACATCTATAAACTGCCATTAAGCATTTTTGCTGTTGTAGATAATAATTTCAAATCACGAATTGTTATACAGGCAATATTGCCCAATGAAACAAGTGAAAGTTATAGATAGGTTCTATAGCAAACAATTGAAGCTACAGGAGTTCAGCCCAGAGCTTTTATGATTGATACAGATCCAGGTCTTGAAAGTGTTGTTTCCGAAATATACCCTGATACCTACCTTCTCCATTGTGTTTGGTATATTGGATGTAATATTGAAAAGCAGCTTGCAAAGCTTCTTGGTAATCGTTATACAGACTTTATCAAAGTATTTTATCATGCCCGAAATGTTTTATGTAAAGAAACATTTGAGGAATACTGGAAACAACTTATGATTGATTTTCTAGAATCAACTGAATACCTACTTAGACAGCTTGATCCACATAAAACAACCTGGGCAAAAGCATTTACAGGTCGGGTTTTTACAGCAGGGATAACGTCTACCCAATGATCTAAATCAATAAACGGTATAATCAAACGGACTGTAAATGAAAGAACTCAACTTCATGTCCTGTTTAACCGAATTGAATCACACGTTGCAGAAGAACAATTTGCTGGTCGGTTTGTGACTTGGCGTGAAAAGACAGTATCATATATGATACCAAGTGTTCCTGAACGACTTTTCCCCAATATATATAATATTCTGCAGAAGTATGTGATACCTAAAATTTTATAGTTATATACTAATCAAATAAATAAGACAGTAATATATCATAGAAAAAGGGTTAGTTTTGAGAATCCATATAATTTAATATTAGAGGTTGTTGATAATAGACCAATTGAATTTGAGTATGATTTCTGTCAGATATGGTTTGACAAACTTCTTGAAGGGGTTGATTATTCCTTAGTTGCTGAAGTTTGGGATGTTCAATCAATCAAACATAATTCACATGTTGGACAGAATATAGTGCTATTAAAAAATAGATTTCATTTATGTACGTGGATTTTATTATTTGATAGTGGAGTAGTTTGCCGTCATTGGTTTTGTGTTCTTTTACAGTCTGAAAAGACCTATTTTCATATTTCTCTTATTCCAAGATGTTGATATAAAGATGAATTTATGGACACGATGGTTGCTGATGAGCTATTTGTTAGAAACAAATCATTAGAAAAGAACAGTTTAATACTATCCTTATCTTCTTTTCCGGATGTTGCTGATTCGTAAAATACTATGCTTATTGAACTTCCTATACAAACTGCAGCAAAAGTGATTGGCCACAAACAATCAATTAAAGGAACATTGCTTGAACTTGCTCGTAAATGTGTAGAAGTAGTTAATTACGATGATTTAAATGATTCAAAGATTTTAATGGAAACATTTAAGGAATAGATACGTACCTATGAGGAAGCACAATACGACAAACGAACTATAGAACAAGAACTGAATGATGATCAAATTGCAGAAAATAATCAAGATACAGAGAGTGATCAAGATACAGAGAGTGATCAAGATAC